GGAGAAGGGGAAGGGAGAGTGGATTGGGACAGGAGGAGAGAGGGAGCTACTGGGAGGATACAAAGTAAATAAACTGTAATTAATAAAAATTAAAAAATGAATAAATAACCCATAAAGTAATAGAAAATTTGACATTGTTTTCATGCCCTTCTTAGCTTTACTGTCTGATCATAGAGGGATTTCTGTTCCAAGATACAATTGTGACAATGGTCTCTCTTGAATAGAAGAACTTAGTGACTGTCAAACCACAATTCTGGATTACAGAGCCAGGTAATATACCCCCAAGGATTCTAGAGCATAGTACCTTTACCACCACGGATTCTTCCCCTTAGGGACAATGTCAAATTCCCATACTGAAAGCTTAAACAAAACAGAACAGAAGTGGAAAGGCAGCTCTCATCTGGAAGAAGAAGACAGTCTTTCTGCGTTGCTGCTCTTAGCTCTACGGATGATTCACGGGGACTGTGAGTCAGCTCATTGCTGTTTGACGCACTTAGATGTGTTAGCTACATTCAGACTCAGATCTAGGCTCCTTATGTTTTTCTAAGCTTAGGCGAAAGAGTCTCACAAGAAGCACAGGTGGCGCATTCTGGAAGAGCAGCCTCTTCCCGGGGCACCTCTACATTTGGTGCAACCCAGACGGTGAGAGGAAGGAGCAGGTCTTAGGAACTGGCTTCTTTGTTCAAACGCTTGTTTACAGAGAACAACGCATCATAGCTTCCGGCATCGTCACACCTGTTCTGGACAACAAAAGCATGGTTGCTCTCCTAAAATCCTGGTCTGGCACGTGCCCATTCCTCTAAGCACTCTCCTCACAGGAAGAAAATGCAAAGTTTCCCTGTATTTTTATTAGTCTCATGGTTGCTTGTCATTTTGGCATTGAGTTTAGGCAGAGGTTCATGTGGGCTGGTTGATGTGAGAAATTTTTTATTTTTGTTTAAGATGTATTTATTTACTTTTACTTATGTGTGTTTGTGTGCCTGCATGACTTTGTATAGACAACATGAAACAGGTGCCCTTGGAGGCTAGAGTGTGGGTTTAGATTTTTCACCAAGCCTACTTTATTTAGGGTTCTTAAACATCTTTACCTCCCTTCCAACTCCCCCTCCCCATGACCTTAGGTAGGATATTAGTAGGGAAAAGGGCTGTAGGCCTCCTTAATCCACTTCCTGCTGATTAGGGTCAATGGGTCTTTAGGGGATTATCAGACTCAGTCATCAGAATACCAGTACTCTAGTCCAAAGGCCAACACCAAGCAGCAACACAAAGTCAGCGAAAGCTTCAGGACTCAGTAGGATTGCCCAGAGAAGCTCTCTGGGACATTCCTCTCTGAGAAGTCGTGTCGATGTACGAAGATCAGGGCAGAATGTTGGTCAAAAAGGCGATGTCTCACTGTATGTGGGCCTCTATGTATCTCCTCTCCTCAGAGTCCATCCACAGATGTTCTCAGCTGGCAAAGTCACGCCCCTCACACATGAGCGCTCACAGCAAAAACATCATGTGTCCTCTCACAAGCCAGGCGCCTACAAAAAATCACGTGCCCAGCTTGCAGCAAAACGTCACATGACAAAACTCAGTCTTCAAGGAAACCAGAAATTTCCACTTCCACCAGAGGGCATTGGATCTCCTAAAACTGGAGTTATAGAAAGGTGTGAGACACTTGATATGGGTGTTGGGAATTAAACCTTCATCCTCTGGAGGCAGACATATATGTTTGTGTGTATATGTATATATGATGTGTGTCCCTAAATATATAAATGCAACCTGCTCAATACATATAATGTTACTTGTTTGTGTGTGATTTCAGAGTTGTCCACTTGACATTAAATAATCAGTTGGGGTCCTCTTCCTTGGGAAAGACTATTTCTTCAACGCTTAGCATCCCTCAGTTGCCTGCAGTTCTTTGTCTAGGGGTGAGGCCACATGGGCTTTCCCTTTTCCACGTTAGCCTGTCTATTGGTGTCATCCTTGTTCAGGACTTGTTTAGGCGACCACATTGTTGAGACTTCTTGGGTCTTAGCTTCCCTAATATTTCTCCAAGACACAGCCACACAGCAGGTTTCCTGTTCCTCTGGCTCTTACAATCTTTCAGCATCCACTTCCTTGACCTTGTGTGTTCCCTGCGCCTTTGGGTGCAGGAGTCATTTAGATGGGTCAGCTGGGGCTGTAATAGGAACTCTTGAGGCAAGAGGAGTTCCTAACGTCTACTAGATGCTGATGGCAAAGAGGCAGATAGAAGCAGTATGGCGTCCCGGAACCCAGCACTCCAGACTCGTCTGGTTCCCTTCCAGAGCAGCTCAGAAGCTGCTGTATGTAGTCAGCTCTCCCTCACTTCCAACTCCCGTCTTCCCTAAAATGCTCAAGCGGCTTCCTATCTAAAGTTCTGAGACCAACACTATAGCCACCCTGACTACCCCCTCTTCTCTTCCACACCCTCTTTACCCCTTTCTCCTCCCCACAGTAACCAAAATACATAAAGATGTTTTCCTAAAAAAGAGCCATTCCTCCCCCCCCCCCCCCAACACACACACTCCCTCTTGGAAAGAATCTCTTCGTTCTCTCAGGACAAAGGCAGGGTTTGGACTGCATAGCTTCTACTATGGCTCCATGATGTTATTACCTCTAATACAGTGCAGTATAACACTAAGGTTAAGTAACTATAATTTTAACTATACCTACATTCTATATAACAACACAGGTTATTCATAAGAGGTTACCTCTGGGTGGCGGGATCCTGGGTAATTTTTATAGTTTTGATCATTTCTCTTCATTTTCATTTTTTGCTATCTTTGTTTCTGAAATCAATGTTACTAATGGTTCAAGGCAAAGGACAGTGCCTGCTGTGGCTTTATCTTTTAATTAAGAAAGGTGAATTTGTTCCTTCAAGCTCTGCCTCCAGGCTTCCTCACTCCGACTCCTCATTAAGTTTTATGTGGCAAAAATAAGCCATCTCCAGTCTTCTCTAGTGCGTGTAGGGATGATAATAGTTGCTTATATACAAAACTTAAGAAAATATTGCTGTCCTTGTTTTGTAGTTAAAAAAAAAAAAAGGCAACTTGAGTCGATTAGAACATGTAACAAATTCACATCTGAAGGAATCTTGTCTCCCAATGTGTGCTATTTATTCAAGGACTCCGGCTGCTTAGGTCCCAGAAGTCGAGGTCCTTCTGCCAAGTAAGATATACTTTGATTAACCTTTCTGGTCCTGAATTGTTCGTGCTTGCAGCATGGCTCAGTTGTGCTTGAAAGATGTCTGACCGTCAGCTGGTGAGTTGCTTTGAAAGGTGAAAGTGTTTGCCTTCAAACTCAGTGACCTGAGCTCATTCTCTGGGACCTATACGGCGGAAGGAAAGAACTCTGGAGGGTTGTCTTCTGAGGTTCACAAGAGCATGGTGAGCGCCCCTCCCCCACCCCACAATACAAAAGGGTAAACTGGTTTCTGACCCAGTCTTAGATATCGCTTCACATCCCTCTCGCTACCCATGGGCAGAGCTGTGTAAGGTCTGTTTTCCCCATGGTCATCTTGGCAGCACTTCTTCCTACATGCATACGCAGTATCTAGGAGACTGCTGTGAAAAGGAAAAAACTGTTCTCTCTGTCCTATGTCCACATTCCTGCTTTGTCCCCACCTTTGCCCTCCTCGTTTTCTAGAAGGATGTCAGTATTTAGCCTGGGTGCTGACAGCTGTTCAGAACATGAACTAGGTTACAGGGCAGTGTGCCAGATGCCAGGCCGTTCTGTTCGGGCCCTGGTTCATGGTGTATTTGTTTACAGAAGGGCTGTTTCAGGGTAGAGGGAGAGGAAGCCGGCCAAGGATGTTTAATAGGATCTTGTAAACATTTGTATTAGTGATGCTCTTTAGTGTCTACTCATGGGTTCTATTTTAAGTTAAAGGAATGGAAAGACTGAGCCAGCATGGCAGGTAAGAGTTCAGAAGGGTGGCCAGCATCACTCTGGGATGGGCAGCATGCATTTCAAATAGCCTTTCCAATACCTCTCCTTTCCTACTTTCTTTGGTCATGTGACTTGCACCAGCCAACAAGATTTTTGTAGGTGGAAGTTGCTAGCTAGGGACTACCAGAAATTTTTTTTTTGGGGGGGGGTGGGGTAGAGGCAAGGTAGGAAATGTTTTTAAATAAAAAGTCTTCACTGTTAGACCTCCATTCCAGTGCCTTCCCTCGCTCCTTGTGAAGTGCGTACTCTGAGTCAGCACGCATCACCTCAAAAGCCAGCCAGGCACTTCAGACATCAAAGGAGAATGACCACACACCTGAAATCCCAGCCTTTGAGGGGGAGGGGGCAGAGGATCTTAGTTCAAGTCCAAGCTGGGCTACATAGTGACAAAAATCAACCAACCAACCAATCATAGCAAAGTGTAAAGACAAAATGACCTTAAACCCCCAATGACATTAGGGAGTTACTCTAACAGCCCAGAATCACCTACAATGAGCTGCTGCCTCCCAGCCCCCTCCACAGACAGGGTCTCTCTGTGTAGCCTTGGCTGGCCTAGAACTCACTCTGTGGACCAGGCTGGCCTAGAACTCAGAGATCCACCTGCCTCTGTCTCCCAAGTGCTAGGATTAAAGGTATGTGCCACTACACTGGGCTCAGCTGTTGGCTCTTAAAAGACCAAGCAAACATCCCCTGTGTGTTTAAGCCATTGTAACCAAGTTACCCTCCTGTGAGATGGGACGCAGTATCAACTGAGATGCTCTGAAGGCATTCACATGATGAGACAGCAAATGGACACTAAGGGCTGGAGCTCCTTGAAACACGGTGGCTCATTTGGGGACCTTGTGGGAAATGCAGACTCTGAGCCTGTAAGTCAGGCCTGTGGCCTGAGATTCTGCATGTCTCACGAGCTCCTGGCTAATGCTGACAGGGTAGATCCTGAACCACACTTGGAGTAGCAAGCATTTGGAAAATGGAGGCTCTTTCAGTCATCATGTCCTCATAGGCTTCCTATTCAGCTTTAAAAAAAAAAAAAGAGAGAGACTCCATGAGTTTTCAACAGTTTTTTTTTATTTAGAATATAATTTTTGAGACAAAAAGCAGTTCATTTTATTCAGCAAAATAAATTTAACAAATTCATTTAAATAAGGTAAATTCCAGACTCTGTGATTTTTTTTTCTTAGTGGCATGGCTTTTCTGCCCCTTGGAATCAGTCTATAGCTGCAGGCCAAGGGTTCTTTCCAAGGTAGCACAGCCCTAAGAGAAGGAACTGGTGTATATAGAATTTGAACGACTCAAATACACCTGTGTGCTCATCCAGCCACCAATGTACTAAATGAAATGGGAGGAAAAGGACACAGAGACGTGGGTCGGGGAGGTGCTTTTCCCTGCCTGTTTGGTTATCTTTTCAGTAGAAGCTTGGCAGCTCTGAAACAGACGGTACATGCCAACTGCTACTGTCAGGTGGTGGTCAAAGGCAAATGAAAAAAAATTCTCCTACATCATCTCTCATTAAAATCCAAAGGGAAACGCAAGCCTTTGTGTTAAATAGCATGACAGCAAACAATGGGACATTCAACACTGCACTGAAACATCAAAACAGCCTGGGTAAGCTGAGGCAAGGAGGAACAGCTGGAGTTCCAGGAGCAAGCTGCAGGTGCCGGGCTCGCTAGTCTGTAACAGATCTGCATTCTGAGGGCAAGCCTTCTGACCTCCGCCACTGCGCCAGGCGCTGCTTAAACCATTTCTGAAAGAGGGAAATGTGAAAAATTATCCGTCACACGCTGAAAAGTCTAAACGTCTTGTTTCATTCCTAAGGGCTCTCTGTGGGCCTGACTGGGACGCAAAGGACGTAGGATGGTTCTCTCACCATGACACCGACCTTCTATCTGTGCCCCAGAAACTCCGCGCATGCCACAGTCTTCAAGTGATTCTCTCTCTCTGCCTCTGTCTCTCTCTCTGTCTCTCTTTCCTTTAGGTCTAACCCTAAGTCGGCCCACTCTAGCAAACGTGGCTCTTCCTTCTTTTCTGTGTCAGTATTTTGTTAGCTTCGCAGGACTTTCACTGTCTATCGTTAACTGTGTGCATACACGTCTAGAATGTTTAGCCCTTAACTCAAAGTCTCAAGATGTAACCAGTTCATCAACGTGCGTTGAGTAAATAAAAGGAACTGAAACAACTCCTTGATGCCCCAGAAGATTTCTGGTCTTTTGATAGCTCATGATGGGTCATGATGTCAGCATGGGCTTTGCTCACTAGCAGCATCCTGGTAAAAATTTTGTTCAGTGAATGACTCTTAACTAAGCACTAGGCAACTCTGGAGCAGTCCACCTTAGGAATCCATGGAATGGACTGCTGAGCCAAGAGATGGTGAATTGGGTTTACCCGTGACTCAGAACTGTCCAGCTCAGTGTCGCTCAAACATTTACCCCTTACCAACATCAGCACTGATTTCGGGGAGGCCTCCATGAGACGCTGCTGGAATGGTACAAAGGGAGACCCAAGACATTTCTGTAAGCTGTAAAGCAGTGTGGCTCACACTCAACCAATAGGCTGCCTAACTTCAAATTGAGAGCCAGAGGGGTGATTAGGAGAACTGTGCTGGGGAACAAGACTAGGCCTGAACCAGGAAGTCAGAAGGAAACTGGGATTGGAAGAGACACTATTGAGGACACAGAAGTAGCTCCTCTTCTCAAGGTAGTTTCCCCTTGAGCCTGGAGCCTCGGGGATCTGGAGTACATTGAAAATGGTCAGATTACATAGCACTGGCCTAATTAATTGGTCAAGTGGCTAGGGTAGGTGACAGTGCAGGCACAGCCGAGAGTCAACCCCACTGTCACTGACTGGCCTCAAGAAGCCCCTAAAAGTGTCAGTCTCCCACCAGTGCTTGCTGGGTTGAGCATGGGCTGTGTCGGGACTCACCGTCTCTACCCACCTGAGGAGTTTACATGCTCAGCCTCTGCCTCACCCCAGAGCCAGAAACAGTTGTCTCTCTACCCTTATCCTGGGGTGGCGGCAGAGGAAAGCAATAGAAAGCCAAGGGGTCCAACCACCTGAGGAAAGCCTTCTCTAAGGGGCTTGTACCCTAGAGTTTTCATTTCACTCTTGGGAATCACTTTTTTTTTCTATCTTATCTTATTCTCTCTTTCTTTTCCTATTATTGCTTTTGAAACAGGACCAAGTAGCACAGGACGGCCTTGAACTCATGATGCACCTGGAGACCTTGAGCCTCTGAGCCTCCTGCTTCTACCTCCCAAAAACTGGGGTTACAGGTGTTCGTGGTGCCTGGTTTATCTGAACACGGACCCTACGGCTTGTGCATGCCAGGCGAGCCTCCTACCGCACGAACCCCAACCCCGTGGGCAACAGTAATCTCAAGATGGAGCCCGTGTGATGGTGGCTTCAACCCAACATTGACTGTGAAGAGTAGGCACATTTTCTTCTTTTAATCTCTCTGTGTGTGTTCAGTCAAGCCTTGGTCTTGTTTGAGAGCAGCATGGCACCAACTTCATTAATGAGGTAACTGTGGGGGGTTTCAGAGCTGCAAGTGCTGATTAAATAGAATTTCCAGGGACTGGAGCTGAATAAGTGGCAGCATTTTAAAGACTAATTAAAAACCTAGAAGGGGGTGGGGTGGGGGAACCACTTTACTTTCTATCAGGACTCACTTAAGACTAAGTGGTTAAGCTGGCCTCATTCAAAAGAGCCACCCGCATCTTCACATGCAGATGGGTAATGATGGGTCATTACCCAAAACAGCTTTGACCTGGACCGCATTTGCGAGTTGGTAAGGTGCGATCTAAATGTTTAACAGACTGAGCCCTGGCGCTGGCGGATGGGAAGAGGTGCAAGAAAGGTTCAGCTGCTTTCTGAAGACGTGTTCATTGTCAATCAAGAGTGAACATAATTCAGCAGACCAGCTAGTAACAGAATGCACTTGCTAGCTTCTTTCCTGTCTAGCCCTGGATCCTGTAGCCTCTGACTCACATAAATCCTAGTTTTCCACCTGGCTCTGCCTCTCCTTTGTTTCAGCCATCTCCTGGGAAAGACATTCATCCCTCACTCACCCATGAGCACCTGAATGGGGCTCTCATTAGCTCTGCTCATTGACGGACATTTATTTACTGAGTGAACGGATGATAATTGGACACTGGGGTTGGGGCAAAACACGGTTCTTGTCCATTTTTTCCTAACAGCTAGCATTCCATTCTCTTCAGAAGGAGACCTCTAGAGGTCTTATCCCACCAATAAAACATGCAGCAACTGAAAACAGTGGATTCTGGGAACAAGTCCAGAACATCAAGAAGAGATAAGGAATACTGGGAACTTCTTCAAGAACCACTGCCAGCTACACTGTACGTGTGTGTGTGTGTGTGTTTGTGTGTGTGTGTGTGTGTGTACGAAAGGGGGTGTGTGAAGAACACTGTATTATAACCCCAGCCTCGCAGAGTGAAAATGGAGGCGTGTTCCCAGCCCCCTTCACATTGACTTTCAGACAGTAAAAAGACACAGGGAGTGGGATTCGGTAGGATTTCACTTAACTTAAAGGTAGAAGATATACAGAATACTAGTAATGAGAAAAACTCCTTCAATTCCCAACAAACGCAGTGTAAGAAGCTCTCTGAGGATGAGGCTCTCACTGCACACAGAGCTCCTGCAGGCGCCTCCCGACAGCAGAGAATTTGTCTCCGTGGTGGGGCTGTTACAGGCGGTCCGCAGTTGTGACTCATAAACACGGTGACTGGCTTTCACAGCATTTCCTGAGATGTGCCTCCCTCAAACCTTATCAGGATGTTGGTATATTACCCATTTCATGGCCTATAAAGGTCCCCAGGCAGACTGCTCTGCCTCTAGTCTTTCTCACCTTTGCCAAAGTGCCAACAGTGTGAATCAGTAACTATCAAGAACAGATCGTGTGTGTTTCTCTTTTACCAGCACAGTACTTGCTTTAGGGAAAGAACAGGATGCTGGGTGTTGTGATGGCTGTCTATAAATCTCAATGTTAGCAGTCTGAGGCAGGGGGACTGTGAGTTCATGGCCAGCTTGGACTAACATAGGAAGACCCTGGGTTGGGGGAGGAGGCATGATTCTGTCTCTGGAAGTGGCTAGTGTCAGGGTGGGAAGGGCATTCTGGCCTATGTGATGAATATAATTTGTACTAGAAAAGGACCACACTAGAAAAGAAGAGAGGCAGGGTACCGTGCTGACAGCAGACATCACACACAGGTTAAGAACCAGCAAGCGCTGGCCTCCGGAGTTCTAGTAAGCATCCCAAGGACCTGATGAAAGCAACTGTCTTATGTTTGCAATCTCATCACCGAATTTTGTGTCTGCAGAAGACACCTTTCTTTTTGTAGGAGACAGCTTTTAAAAAGTAAACGGTAGTGAAGATTATGATTCACTTTCCTATGCCAGTGCCCATGAAGGTGGTTTGTGGAGTTGTTAAGGATGGGGGATGGGAGCTGGCCCAACAAGAAATGACAGGGCAAGCAGAAGCCTTGGTCCTGAAACTTGCTGTGCTGAGACTCTGAGCTCTGGGTTCCAGGTGCTTCCCTGCAGGTCTAGGCAGGAAGATGAGGGTGAGCTGAGCTGCAGCAGGCCTCTGGAGGAAGAAGGTGTTGGCCCATGGCAGGAAGAGGAAGCCAGGCCCTCCCATGAGGCTGACTCACCCACACCCTCTCTTGTCAGGCTTGCTGCATCATTTGTTCATCTGAGGATGGCAGAAGAGGCGAGACTGAAGGACTACCATGGGCAGAGAACCCTGTTATGCAGATTTCTCCACTGGCTGAGCTCTCGAAGGCAAATGCCCTTTTTTCCAGCCCCCACTAGATTTCATTTAAATTCTCTAATAGCAGGTAAAGCCAGAGGAAAGATTAGCAATAGCTAATGATGCGTGAGTAAACTGGCCTTTCTGTCCTTCCTTCCCCTATCACCCCAGCCTTCCTCTGTGGAGGAATAACTAGAAAAGAATATAGAGAATAGGACAGAGGCCCAGAGTCCATAACATGGAACCAGACTGCGCTCTGGCAGCATTTTTTTTTTTTTTTTTTGCCACTTATGCTCATCAGTTCCTTTGCTGAGCTAACAATGCTTTCCTTCTTAAGACAGTTCGAAATGAGTGGCCTTAAGCTCAGAAAGTACCTGAAACAACGCTTGGCGAGTATCTATCACTCCAAAGGTCAGCACGGGGCCGGTCGCAGAGCTCAGAGGTGCGGCACATGCTCAGTATGATCGGGACCCTAGCTTTGACCTCCAGGGTCACACATGCACACATGATGGTAAACAAGAGACAAACGTGACCATTCTGTTTCACCGGTTGAAGGGACTTGGAGGCTGAAACAGGGCTAGTTCCCTAGTTGGTATTGTGTCCGTAATACATACTAGCCCAGTTCTTGAAACACGAGACATCTTTACGATCGTTAAATATAGCATGGGTTTTAAAATGCCAGTGCTCCAACAGCTTGCCTTTTCATGGGTTGCAAGAAGTACGAGCTTTTAGAGTTGGGTTACAATAAATCTTTTTCTATTGGGTTCTGATTTTAGTTAGATAGCCTTTCTGTTTGATCTGGGACCGAGAGGATTATCTATGGGTAAATTCTCCAAGTTGTCCCGGCTTAGTAAGGATCATCTGGGACTTAGGGCTCAGTATTTTGGTTCCAGGATCCCAGAGAGCACTCATTACAAAGTTTTAAGCTCCAGCTGAGCAGGGTGAAGAGAGGACAAAGCCCCGCCCCCTCCTCCAGTCCATTAACTGGGAAGGATAAGAATATCCCAGCTTCAGAGTGGAGTTGAAAAGTGGGAAGTTCTTTGAGAGGGGCAGGATCAGCTCCCAAATAGGTTATCATGCAGAGCATCTTTCCATAACCAAAGGGAAACGAGAAGTCAGAGTTTAGACAGGACTGGAAGGAAAGCTGGCCAAAGGCTCCGACATCGTGCCAGGCGCTTCTGCGATCTCCACCCTCGGCAAATTTTCAGGATAATGGGATAACGTGGGAGCCTTTTCTAAACAGACAAATTATCATAATGCTTGCGTGTGTGTGTGGGGGGGGGGGGTCCGCATGCTGCGGGCGCTAGCGTCAGAGTGCTACCTTCTTGGAAAACTCCAGAGAAGAGCCTCTAAGCCTCAGAACCAGGGAATTAACAAAAACCCGAACCAAAACACGGCAGCGTGGGTTAGGTGCATCACCACGATGTGGAGATATGGCGGGAACCTAATGACCCTGGCAGGTACCTTCCCCTCCCCCACCCCCGTTCCTTAACGTCCCCACACTCCGCGTTAGGGTCTCCACCCCGGCCGAATTTACAGCTGATCACACCTAAGTCCCTCCAAACTGTCACGCCCCGATGAGAATCGGCCTCCCTGAAGCCCTCCGGCACAGCGGGGAGAGTCAGCGCGCTGGGAAAGCGAAAGGAGAGCAGGCGAGATGCTCCCGCCACAGCGGGAGAAAGCGTGGCCCCGGCTCCGGGAGGCGGCGGGAAGCCCGGGAGAGGCTGGCAATGGGATGGGGCTGGGGTGGAGGCGGACCGGGCGCCCAGGGAAGCGCGGAGCGACGCGAGGGTCCAGGGGATGGAGTCCGGGTCCCCGCTTGGGGACTCACCTGCGTCTCCTCCTCCGTGAGGCCCGCCTCGGCTGCGATGAGGCACAGCGTCGTGGGGTCGGGGTGCTTGTTGACCTTGTTGAAGTTGTACTCCAGGATCTCCACCTGGTCCTCCGTGGGGCCGCTCGAGGTCTCCGCCGACATGGTGCGCGCGCGCCTGCGGGAGAAGCAGAAGCGCCGGGTGAGCGGAGCCCGCCCGCCCCCTCCCGCCGTCCACACCGAGGCACCCCCGCGCTGCAGGCCTCGGAGCTCCCGGGCGCCCTCCCACCCAACCTGGCCGAGGATGGAGACGAGGAAGCGCCTCGGGAGATGCCTCCGGAGGTCCGGAGCTGCCCTGGGGACTGAGGACGACGCGCGCCGCGCTGGGCGCGCCCCGGCTGGGTGGGCACGCCCCCTGGGTCGCCGCACCCCGCCTCCGCCGGGGGCTGGCGGGCACGTGGGGGCCTCAGCAGGGAGCGCCGGGCACCGCGCATTCGGGAGAAGGGATGCCCACCGCGCAAGCTGGGGAAACCGGGACCGCGCTTTTGTTTGTCTGTCTATTTGTTTGTTTGTTTAGTTGGTTGGTTTGGGCTTGGGTTTTTTTTTTTTTTTTTTTGGAGAGAGGGTTTCTCTGTGTAGCCTGACTGTCCTGCTGGACTCACTTGGTAGACCAGGCTGGCCTCCTGTGGAACTCACAGAGATCCGCCTCCCTCTGCCTCTGCGTCACCGGCGAGACCGCACTTTAAAAAAAAAAGAACATCACCAATAGACATTTACTTTTTTTCCCTCTGATCACAAAATAACACGTATTATAGAAAGTCTGGAGCACCTTAAAATTACAGAAGCCAAATTAAGATGCCCACATAGCCACGAAGAGCAGCCATAAAAATTCAGATGGCGCTTTAAAGAGCTTTCCAACGTGCGGAGATAGAAACGGAACCGCAGAGCTGATGATTTTTGGCGGGGTGGTACTGTGGAGGGGCCTGAGTCACGTACCTGCGGGGAGGGCCGGGCGCTGACCCCCAGACTTTCTATTGCCAGGTCTCCATCCCAAGAGCCCACCTCACTGTGTGATTCCTCCCCCAAACCTACTCAATTAAAGTGGATCAGAATCAACTGTCACTGAAACCCTCGGACTTGAGCCAAGGAAACTAGGTCCACCCCGAGCTTCAAGGTCTCTTGCGTGCCTTCACTTTAAAGACAAATGTTGCCAGCGGATCGGGGCATCGACCTTCAGTCCCGTTCCTGCCACACTTAACGCAGCTTCAGACTTGGGAAAACTAGCAGGTGCGCGCCCCTCCTCCTACGCTCGGCAGTTGAAGGCTGGGGGTGGGAGGGAAAGAAACTTGGTCTTCAAGTGTTCTTGGCTGTAGATTCGGCACGGGCTTGGCTGACAGAAGAGCCTAGCAGAAGTATGGGAATCACCCTGTGTTGCTGCATTAGCAAATGACTGCAAAAATCCTCAGCAGGTTTCTGAGCAGGTTTTGATACGGCTTGAGCCTGCCGGGAGCTACCTGGATAATGTGTTCAGTGCCTAACAACCTTTCACCGGTGACTTACACTTCCTTACCTGTCCTCTAGTTCACTTGAAGAGACTTCAGACTGGACAAGAAGCTTTCTGACTATGCGGGACTGGGGCTCAAATCATTCGGTAGGTCACCGGTTACATTGTTTTCAGGGAACTAGGTGTTCAGGTTCAAGTCTACACCAAGGATCCCTGTCTCTGCACTAAGGCAATAGGGGTCCGACAGGCCCAGAAATGCCTTTCCTGTTAGCACCCACCCTCCCT